TTCCTCGTGATAATCGAAACATGTAAGGAAAGTACGTAATGAAGGCTAACGTGCATAAGCAATAATAAATAAATGTAGACTGTGACGTGAGTATATCACACAATTTGAATTTTAAATAAGTTCTTTGTATTTTCTATTATAAAGAAATAAAAAGAGAGTTCTTAAAAGACGTTAATTCAAATATTTTACTTATAATCACTGTTACAAATATGTATACTCCTATGCATACGCTTGATTAGTAAATTATTCTTTAAATTTAATGATACTATTTAATTATCACGTAATTGTGCAATATTTGGAATAATAGAACGCTCACATCTCGCAAAACATATTACTATTTACATTTATCTTTATTTTCAGATAATATTGTGCAATCAGACAATATTTTATTCATTTATTACGTAAAAAATAAAGGCAGTACTTATTTTATTAACTTTTCATTATTTAAGCAATACAAATATGAAAGCAAGTCAAATCCTGGTATTGTTCATAATTGATTATTATTATTTAAAATTGTCTTAAGCACAGTCTTAAAATGTCGTAAACTAATCATAAGAGAACCGTATGAGTGTCTTAAAAGACACTACTTCTGATTACTAATCACGGACTAGGTACACGCGAGTGAGGCGCGCGCGCCGGCCCTGAGCGTTACATAGACAAGAGCGCTTATTCGTTAAATTTAACACACTTTCCTGCAAAAACTACTTGTCGGACGCAATTTTGGTAAAGGAAAAAGTTGTTTGTTTTAGCATAAAGTATCATGTCCTGTATTCCGAATGCGGGAATTTTGGATCACCCAGTATATAAAATATATTACATATGTACATGTTATCGAATCGTATATGTACATACAAGTTAGTTTTTATAGTTTCTTTAAATATCTGAAGTATAATAATAATGTTAATGTGGAAAAAGTGTATATAAAAATATAGTATTAATTTAAAATATATTTATTAAAGATATATGAGACATAAGTATGTATACATTTAATAAAGATTTAAAGACATATTTTTAATAAAGGGAGGACTTTCTCTTTCTCTCTCTTTTTCCTTTTCTCTCTCTCTCTCTCTTCTGGTGTAGAAGAAAACAATAATGTTTTATACTTACAAATAAAATTTATTTTCACAATTTATACAACTTCAACTGCTAGTATAATTAATTACTGCACTAGCAGCTATGGATATTTGCAATATCCCTCAATTGTAATAATTTCAAAACAACAATTGTAGTAATCTAAGCATTGCAACTTTCTGCGGAAAAATATATACAAACTATTTATTAAATGTGTGTACACTTTAAAGCGAAACTTCAAAGTGATGCTTCTGAAAAATTCTTTCTCGGTTTGGCTCCAAAAGCAAATTACAAGGAGAGGGCATAATTTATGGTAACAATTCAAGAATAATTTAAGAATCATTGCAGTAATCATGAAATAATAATGATATAACAAATGTTACTATTTCCTACTGAACAATATAACTTATATTACATTATGTACCGTGTATATTATATAACAGTTAAATTGTTGAACGAGAAATTATAATATTGATGTTCTGTTATTATGACTTGGTGTTTACTGAGAAATTCTATTTTTGGAAATCGCGGACGCGTTTACGTTTGTAACTGCAATTTGTATATATTTTGTACACATGATATTTGTATATATGATAGTATGTGAATATAAACATATTATTAAATGCATTAATATATTTATTTATAGGTGATAAAATAAGTTAGAGATAAGTAAGAAGATGTCATTATTTCAATAAAAGAAATAATAACTAAGAATCAAATAACGTATTGTATAATAAAAGTATTAATGATGAAAGTACGATAAATAATACAGAATATCATACAATTGCAAACATAAATAACAGCACAATGCAGGTAGATAAAGATGAGCGAGCTTTTCAATATATTGTTATTTGTAATGAATTAACTGCAATGGATGTACGAGGGCGGTCCGATAAGTACTTAGCCTCACCGCCCGATGGCGCCACTATCGCAAGAGAAATTTACTATCGTGTAGTACATTCTCGTAGACGGCTACTGTCGAAATTTCAGCCGAATCGGACTCGTAGTTTTGTTATAACCGCGTGTGGAAGCGGGCGTGTCCGCGGATTTTAGAAAAATGGAAAAAGAGCAATATCGGTCGGATTCGATTCTTGTTTTTGGAAGGGAAATCGCGCAGCGAAATCAAAGAGCGCTTGGATGTTGTGTACGGTGACTCTTCTCCTTCGATGGCGACCGTCAAAAATTGGTTTAACGAGTTTCAACGTGGTCGCACGTCGGTTTTTGATGAGCCACGTCCAGGTGCCCCGAAAACGGCTACCATGGTGGATAACATGACAAAAATCCACGATCTCGTATTGGCAGACCGCTGATTGAAGGTGCGCAAGATAGCTGAGACAGTAGGCATCTCAAAAGACCGCGTGGGTCATATCCTGCATGAAATTTTGGGCATGAGAAAGCTGTCGGCGCGATGAGTGCCGCGTTTGCTCACTCCGGATAACAAGCGCAACCGTGAGACCACTTCAGAGCAGTGTTTGACGCTGTTTAAGCTCAATCCGAAGGAGTTTCTGCGTCGTTTCGTGACCGTCGACAAAACATGGATCCACTGGTACACACCAGAGACCAAGGAACAGTCGAAACAGTGGATTTCACCCGGCGAACGTGCTCCGAAGAAAGCGAAGACTGTCCTATCGGCCGGAAAGGTGATGGCTACCGTTTTCTGGGATTCACAAGGTGTGATCTACATCGACTACCTGGAGAAAGGCAAAACGGTCACAGGGCTGTACTATGCCGAATTATTGGGCCGATTCGACGCCGAATTGCAGAAAAAACGGCCCCATTTGGCGAAGAAAAAAGTGCTCTTCCACCATGACAACGCACCGGCTCACACCTCCGCCCTCGCCACGGGCAAATTGGTCGAATTGAGCTACGAACTGCTGCCCCATCCACCGTATTCTCCAGATTTGGCCCCGTGCGACTTCTTTTTGTTTCCAAACTTGAAAAAGTCACTCGCCGGGCAGAAATTTGAGTCGAATGAGGAGGTCATCGCCGCCACGGAGGCCTACTTTGCAGACCTCGAGAAAACGTATTTTTCAGACGGGTTAAAGAAGTTGGAGCATCGCTGGGTCAAGTGTATCGAGCTAAAAGGAGACTATGTTGAGAAATAAATCGCCACTTTTCCAAAATTTTCGTTTTTCTTTTGTAGGCTAAGTACTTATCGGACCACCCTCGTATGTATACGCAAAATAAAAGACTAATAATTTAAATAATTATTACTAATGACTTAAATAATTCAAATAAATATTAAATGTATGTATGAAGAGGGAAAAAACTGAAATTGTAGATAACGGACAATTGTAGACAAACGGATATTTTATGAGAAGCAATTTTTTCTACATTGAGGCCCGTTTGCTCCAACTTATAGATAAGGTAACTGACATTCAAATCATATGTCTGTCTTGGTTTTTCTTCAAGATAAAGAGAAACAGATGTTTCAACTTTAATTACTTTTATTATAGTTAACTCAGCATTCGGTTGATGCAATCAGGCTAAAGTGCCGGTGGTTCCAACTTCTTGATAAGTTAATATTTAGGTCACTTTAAAATAAACAAAGACACACACATATTTTCACTGTTAGTTATAAATAGCAAATAGTATGTGAATAATACATACCATAGATTGCCATAACAATTCGTTTATTATCAGGTGTAGTAAAAAGAAATCCATTATTTTTCCAATAGATGGCTTTAGTTATCTGTATCTCGGGTTGTATAAGTCCGATCGGGTTCCACTAGATGGCGTTAGAAAGATGAGATTTCGTACTAAAAAAACTTTTGTGACAGTTTTGTGATTAGTTGACTCAGTTTTGTTTGAGCGCGCGTCAAAGATGGACACTAGCAAAGAGAAAATACGCTATATTTTACAGTTTTTCTTCGATAAAGGCGAAAATGCAAGCCAGGCGGCTGAAAATGTGAATAGTGTTTATGGTCCTGATACTGTAACAGCCAATCACGCGCAATTTTGGTTTCGTCGATTCCGTTCCGGTTTTTTTTCGATGTCAAATATGCACCACGCACTGGAAGGCCAATTTTCGAAAATATCGATAAAAACATGGACATTGTCGAGTCCGACCGTCATGTAAGCACTGTTTCGATTGCCCAAGAGCTAAAGATTGCACAAAAAACCGTTTGGAACCATTTGAATAAGGCTGGATACAAAAAGAAGCTCGATGTATGGGTGCCACACGAGTTAACGCAAAAAAACCTCATGGACCGAATTTCCATCTGCGAATCACTGCTGAATCGCAACAAAATCGACGATTTCTGAAGCGGTTGGTCACTGGTGATGAAAAGTGGATCACTTATGACAACGTCAAGCGAAAACGGTCGTAGTCGAATCGCGGTGAGCCGGCGGAAACGGTCGCCAAGCCAGGATTGACGGCCAGGAAGGTTTTGCTGTGTGTTTGGTGGGATTGGCAGGGAATTATCTACTATGAGCTGTTCCCCTACGGCAAAACTCTTAACTCGGAACTGTACTGTCAACAATTGGACCGTCTGAAGGAAGCAATCGCCCAGAAGCGGCCAGCTTTGGCCAATAGGAGAGGAATTGTGTTCCATCAAGACAACGCCAGGCCACACACATCGATAGTGACTCGCCAGAAGCTTCGGGAGCTTGGTTGGGAGGTTCTTATACATCCACCTTATAGTCCGGACCTGGCAGCAAGTGATTGCCATCTGTTCCTGTCCATGGCGAACAATTTTGCTGGTGAAAAATTCGCTTCAAGAGAGGCTTGTGAAAATCGACTGTCTCAATTTTTTGCCAATAGGGACGAGGGTAGGACTTCTATGAGAGAGGCATAATGAAATTACCTTCAAAATGGCAACAAGTTATCGAACAAAACGGCGCATATTTGACCTAAATCGGATCATTCTAACTATGGTAATTAAAGCCTTCAATTTCGTGCAAAAATAATGGATTTGTTTTTACTACACCTGATATATAACGGTTGCGATTCTCCTTCACAGCCAAACCATGTAAACTTCATTGTCAAGTTGTCCTTTATTACTTCCTTGAAAGCCAAGTTGATTGCTTCTTTCACTGTAAAACCTCCCACGTATTGAAGATAATCTACCTGTATTAAAAATTGCAAATATGTTTATATTGTATGATTTTACTCTAAAGACAGATAAGGCTTAATAGTAGGATCTTATATTTAAGTTCGTCCTAAGTTCATCTTTAGATGCAGTGCAAATCGTTTCATTGTTTACGGAGTATCTGAATATTAATTTGAGACAATCTTAAATATATCCAGCAAACACAATATAACATGTAACATACTTGTTGTAATTTCTTACTCAATAATGTAACTGTTATATAACGCGTGTTATATAACAATTACATTATTGAGTAGGAAATTACACCTAACAAGTATGTCACATTGTGTTTGTTGAATAAGATCCGACGATAAATACATTTTTATACTTGTAAAAAAATGTAACAATTTTTCGAGTTTTCACATGTGAACTTACCACTTGTTCATAAATATCATCGTCCACTGTTTCAAATGTTTGTATTTCCATCTCGGTAGAAATAGGCAGACAGTCCGGTTTTCGAGCAGCTCGGCCTTTATCTTGGCGTGTACGCACACATTTCAACACAGTCTCCAGGGTATGTTGAAATTGTCTACAAACAAAATTTAAATATAGTCATATTACGCCCAATTATTAAATAATATTATACAATCAAGACGTAAGATATAACAAGCTCACTTGAATTGTACTTCCATGCGGTCCAAACGCTCCTCTATTTTTCTACAGTAAATATTACGATATATATTCTCTAAATCCGAATCAGTGAGATATATTGAAAATCAGTGACTATTCACTGATTTTTAGTAAATCTCACTGATTCAGATTTAGAGAGTAAGTAGAGAAATATTGTAAATAATTAAATATTTTTGTCAATACAAAATTAATTTTGCAAATACTTGATTATTATTGATTGTAATTGAATTACTTATAAGTATGTATATATACATTAAATATACACTCAATATACAGGGTGTTTGATAGCTGATCATGCAGACGAAAGTTGGAGATAGATTGGGTGTAGCCGAGAAGAAAAGTCATGTACCATAATGTCAAATTGCCAATAGTCATCGAGTTATTAATTAATGGTAGGCAAGCGCGCGCGGCGAGGGGCAACGTAAACAACAAGAGGCGAACGCGCGCGACGAGAAGCGAGCGAGCGCGAACGACGAGGATCGAGCGAGCGCAAGCGACAAGAGGCGAACAAGCGCGACGAAGAGCGAGCGAGCGAGCGCGAACGACGAAGAGCGAGCGAGCTATAAGGAAAGCTATAAAGAAAAAGCTCTCGCTCACTCCTCGTCGCGCGCGATCGCCTCTTGTCGCTTACGTTGCCCCTCGCCGCGCGCGCTTGCCTACCGTCACTCGCTGACTCCGCCTGTATCAAATGTCTACGTGCTTACTGCGGCCGCCCTCCGCTCTCTACGCGCTTGTTGGCTCACATGTTTTAATTAATAACTCGGTAACTATTGCCAATTTGACATTATGGTACATGACTTTTCTTCTCGGCTACACCCAATCTATCTCCATCTTTCGTCTGCATGATCAGCTATCAAACACCCTGTATATATTAGGAGCGCAAAAAAGTTCTGAGCCTTTTTTTGCAAAATTCAAAATTTATTTAAAAACAAACAAAACTATATTAATCAACGAAATATTCCCCGTTTGCATCGATGACCTTTTGCCATCTTTCGGGTAGCTGAATTCCCTGATGGTAGAAGCTCACCGGCTTCGAGGCGATAAAGTCATCAATGCATTTTCGTATCTCTTCAAGTGTCACAAATGTGTATCAGCCAAGAAATGCTGCAGAGACCGGAATAGGTAGTAATCGGAAGGCGCCATGTCTGGGCTATACGCCGCGTGCGGGAGAAGTTCCCAGCCTAACGCAAAGATATGGTCCTGAGTCACTTTCGCAACATGTGGTCGGGCATTGTCATGAAGCAGTATCACTTTACGACGTCCTTTGCCAGTAAATGGCCTCTTTTCTTCAAACGCATCGCTCAAATTGCTCAATTGTTGCTGATAGCGATCTGCCGTTACTGTTTCACCCGGCTATAACAACTCGTAATACAATACACCTTTCCATTCCCACCATATGCAAAGCAAAACCTTCTTGGCGTGGATATTGGTCTTTGGCGTCGATGTCGAAGGTTGACCAGGGTCAACCCATGATTTTTTACGCTTCGGATTATCATAAAGTATCCACTTTTCATCACCTGTAATGATTTGGTGCAGAAAATCCTTTTTCCGGAACCTTGAAAGCAAAGTGAGTGCCGTGTCACGCCGTCGATTTTTGTTGTCTTCGGACAGTGCATGCGGAACCCATCTGCCTTCCTTTTGAACTTTTCCCATTGCACGTGTAAACGTGTGGAAATGGCTTGTCGCGTAACGCCAAGTTGCTCTGCAAGCTCCTTTTCAGTTTGTGCAGAGTTTATATCCAACAATGCTTGCAGTTCATCCGTTTCAATCTTTTGAGGGCGTCCAGCACGCGGTTCATCTTCAAGACTGAAATCTCCTTGGCGAAATTTTTGATATCACCTTTTACACGTAGCATAACTTACAGCGTTCTCCCCATATGCAACACAGATCATTTCAGTGGCTTCAGCAGCATTTTTCTTCAGATGAAACGCGAAATGGATGGAAAATCAAATATGCTCTTTTGTTATTGCCATCGTGAACACTGCTGATTTTAAGGTTATGTGCATCAAACGCCAAATCGCACGATGTTTCGAAAGACCAAATGTCACTGCTTTAAAACCGCAAGAGGGCGGGAAAATTAATGCAATTTAAATTGTGGTTTCAGTAGTATGAAATCTAGGGCTCAGAACTTTTTTGCGCTCCTAATACATGAATAAATAATTCAATATATTTGCAAAATTAATTTTGTACACACCGGTATTGTCCATTATCAGCATTGATCTGTTGAAATGCTGCAGTATAGCGCTTGTCTATATTTGAAGGAAGAACCTGAAACTTATTTAATATATAGGGTGAAGAAAAAAGCCCAGGACCTTTAAAAATTTCGAAAAATATACACTTTATAAAAATGTTTCAGACAAAAGTTGTAGCGTTGGAAAAGATCTATTTACTGATCTTAACAATTTGACCTTGGGTGGCGTCATTAAGGTTAGGACAAAGTCACCTCGGATTTTTTAAATAGAACTACCAACTTTTTATTGCATATTCTTATAGCCCTTCTTCAGACCTTTTCAAAACACTACGGTTTTATTCAATTTGAATAAGCTATTCCGAAATTATCGAGTTTTTTAAAGTAAAATATCTAGCCAACTAAGGCAAGATCGGAGGATGATCCGGCCAACTAAGGCAAGATCGGAGGATGATCCAGCCAACTAAAGCAAGATCGGAGGATGATCCGGCCAACTAAGACAAAATCGGAGGATAATCCAGCCAACTAAGGCAAGATCGGAGGATGATCCAGCCAACTAAGGCAAGATCGGAGGATGATCCGGCCAACTAAGGCAAGATCGGAGAATGATCCAGCCAACTAAGGCAAGATCGGAGGATGATCCGACCAACTAAGGCAAGGTCGGGAGTTGTCCGGCCAACTAAAGCAATACTGGAAAGCTTTAAAGTAATTGTTCAAAATGTCCGCCATCAACAGTTTGATAATAAGCTAATCTATCGTAAAGAGATGAAACGGCTTTTTGAATGTAATCAGCAGGGATGAGAGCAGCTTCATCAAGAATTCGATTTCGTAAGTCATCCAAATTTTGTGGTTTCGTTTTGTAACCTTTTAAATATCTCTATCTTTTAAATGGCCCCACAGGAAGTAATCGTTAGGTGATAAATCGGGTAATCGAGGCCATTCTATAGGTCCTCTTCTACCTATCCATCGATGAGGAAACACTGTGTCCAGATAATTATGGACGTCCCTTCCGTAATGTGGGGGGGGGCACCATCTTGTTGGAACCATGTGTGTGAAGTTGTCATCCATGATTGCTTGTATCGCTGGAACTATTTCGTTTCTTAGCATATTCTCATATTTTATCGGTGTTAGATTTCCGTCAATAAAGAGTGGACCCATGAGAACATTATTCAAAATGCCTACCCAAACATTCACTTTTTGTGGATATTGCGTGTGATACTGTGTGTGTTTCTTCAATCCAGTGAGGATTTGTATCTGACCAAAATCTACAATTGTGTCGATTAACGTGGCCATTTAACTGAAATGTTGCCTCATCTGAAAATACTACATTTGATAGATAGTTAGGATCTTCGGCTATATTTTCCATCATCAAATCACAAAATTCAATGCGCCTATTAAAATCATCTTCATTTAGCTCTTGTACAAGATGGATCTTGTAAGAATGAAATTTATTTATTTTCAATATTACTTTCCTACTTGCGAGTCGAATCATGCGGATTTTCGATAAAGGATTGTAGAACTTCTAATGATTTTTCTACACTTGTTGCTGATACTGGCTTACTTGGTATTGCACGATTTTTCACACTTCCAGTTTCCTGAAAATGCCTTATCGTTCTTTCAACGGTAGATTTTGAAATGGCATTACCCTGATTATGAAAAGTTCCATTAAAAAGCCGCCTCACATCATTGTACGACCTTAGTCGATCATCCCATCCTCTCATCATCAAAAGAGATATGCGTTCTCGTTCTGAAAGACTTGTCATATTGACAAGCAGAAGTGGTAAGATTTAGTCTAATCGACTAAATTAATATTTGGATCAATTCAAAGTTATTCTAAAGACAGTGCTGAAAAATAATAATGAGCACGGAATGAAGTGCAATTAAGTTAGCTTACAACTAGCTTCAAACTGTTTCTTAATAATTTTCAAAGAGGTAGAGGAATTTCAGTCGAGTTTGCGATTCACTAAACTGTAATGAGTATTAAATGAATAAATGGAGGAAATAAACATCGAACAGCAGAATAGTTCAAATAAATAAATAACTGAAATAAATCAATCAACGAAATTAAGACAAGCCAATAGAAGCCAACGCCTGGAAGTTAGTCGCGCAATTATTTTTACGAGTTGGCTGGATCATCCTCCGATCTTGTCTTAGTTGGCTCGATCACTTCGACCTTGCCTTAGTTGGCCGGATCATCCTCCGATCTTGCCTTAGTTGGCCGGATCATCCTACGACTTTGCCTTAGTTGGCCGGATCATCCTCCGATCTTGCCTTAGTTGGCCGGATCATCCTCCGATCTTGCCTTAGTTGGCTAGATATTTTACTTTAAAAAAACTCGATAATTTCGGAATAGCTTATTCAAATTGAATAAAACCATAGTGTTTTGAAAAGGTCTGAAGAAGCGCTATAAGAATATGCAATAAAAAATTGAAGGTTCCATTTAAAAAATCCGAGATGACCTTGTTCTGACCTTGATGACGCCATCCAAGGTCAAATTGTTAAGATCGGTAAATAGATCTTTTTCAACGCTACAACTTTCGTCTGAAACATTTTTTTATAAAGTGTATATTTTTCGAAATTTTCAGGGGTCCCGTGGTTTTTTCTTCACCCTGTATTACTGCTGTTTTCAGACATGTCATATCGGTACGTTGTAGATGCATGTTCTGTGTGAATGGGTGTATATTGTGATTCTATATGTGTAGATGTTTGCAATGTTACATATTGTGTAGAGTTTTGTTGGGGTAGATATTGCGTTTGAATGGGTATGTGTGTTTGTATTCCGCATACATGAGGAGTGTACGTCTGATTATTACTATCATTATTAGTATTATGAATATTATATGAGGAATTCTCCTGAAGAATTCCTCTCAACTCCCTTATATCCTCTTCCAAGGTTTTGCCAATGTCCTTTTGTTTCCCTGCAGTATCCATTGACCTCTTCCGGGGTGACTCGTCAGAAGAAGTAGTCTGATATGTCGATGGTTTTATTATGGGTCGTTTTAGACGGTCCATTTACCTATATAAGAAAATGCATAAAAATATACTGAGTACGTTAAATATATATACATATGTGTGTGTGTGTGTGTTTATGTTTTACTTGTTTCATTTTTGTCTTTTAGTTTAGTTCTTATATAATTATATTATATAGAAATTAAACATGTCAAATTATATATTTATAATTATTATTAGCGGTATAAATATTAATTAATTGCAGTCATGTATGATTATAAATCATATATTTTAGTAAAGTAAACTATTCTTTTCCACATAGAGGAGAACTTATGCAACAATTATTGTATGAAAATAAAAACTTTGAAAATAAAAAATAATAAAATAGTCTTAGTTCAATTAAAAAGGTAAAAAAATATGCACTTGGTTAAAAAAAAAGTTTGCTTATTATTATTTAGCAGCAAATAAATTTGAAATAATGAGAGAACATTGAAAGAAAGAAATAAGAATTTGTTACATTTTATCATTATATATAACAACAGAAATTATATATTTATCATATTCTAAGTAATTGTCATCGTCACTACTATTCCCATTTTCTGACATGCAATTCCAAAAAGGCATCTTATAACACTTTGCATGGATTTCCTTTATATGTACAGAGAAAATATTATTATCTAATGTGGAACATTTAAAGATGTACAGTACAGAAGAAAAAATACCAACGTCATAAAAATTATTTACATCCAAAAATTTTCTTACTACTAAACAATGTGAATTGTCTACTACTAAAATATTGACAATAATGCAAATAGATCCATCATTCAAAATACAGCAATTATCATGTTTGTCTAAGCTGAGCAAGATTCCATTAAATATGATCTTACGATATTGGTAAGAGTTTGAAAGAAGAAAGCGTGGAAGAGGACCTACGTTATGCTCCCTGAACACGCGGATTGTTGAATCCGTGCTCAAATAATCAGTTGCTGTATTTGCTTCTATCTCTGCCATTCTATTTGAAATTTGCTGCAGAGGAAGATCAGGTTTTCTACAACACTTTCGGAAAATTGTCATATTATTTTCATATGGGAAGGCAAAAAATGAATCAAGAGGACCTAGTTGCCGCACATCATTTGCAATATGAAGGAGACCGTGAATATTGTAGGAATTGAATGTTGAACCGTACATATTTTCACATCTCTCAACAAACTTTTGCAACGCTACTTCTGCGAAATTCAGGTATATTTTTGACGATGACGTTGAAACTAAAATCCTTATTGCTGCATGGAGCAATAAAAAGTGTGTGTACACTTGCTGATTAAGAATACCGTATGTAACAATAGGACCTGTATAAAAAAGGAATTGTCGAAATTCTGTCGCTTTATATTTGGTGCATGCATCAAGTGATCTAGGTCGTTGTGCAAAATCAGATGGACAATATGCTCTAAGTATTTTCATTCGTGCAGATATAATAGAAATAGATTTTGCAGATAATTTCGAAAACTTTGAGTATTTCCCATGTACCCATGCATTCATTTCTTACCCATGCAACAATTTCTTCATTACTCCAAGGCACACCAGGTGCATATATTCAAATGGAACCTGTGTAACCAATCTTATCGGTAACATTGACAACAGACTTTTTCCTTCTTTATGATGACCTTCATCTAAATTACGGACATATTCCTCATCGGTACGAAGAAAATGATCAATACCATGAAAAGTATAACGTACCTCACATCGTTGGCCATTAACTTTATATTTGGAGCATGGCTGTTTGGATGTATGGCCTCGATGATTCAAAAAGCACGAGCTGGCGCATCAGCTGTAAAACATCTTAACTGTAATGGTATCTTACTATCATCATGACTTATACCTCCGTTGGCAAATATTCTCTTAACATCTACAATACATTTGTCAAAAAATATATTTGGATCATTTGGTTTTGCAGTGCCTCTGTATATCCCTATTATTATTGGCCTTATATGTTTTATATTTATAAGCCGACATTATATTAGCTACAGATGAACAGTTCCTGACCTATCTAAGCTACATCCATCGGTACTAAAGTCTAGTTCTAAATAACTTGGGAGAGATACAGTTGGATAATACGAAAGCACTTGAGAAATTTTTTCTTCCAAATTAAAATGTATGTATTCACCTGGTTCTACTTTATATAATTTTATTTCATGGAGTACTCAAAAGCGTTCTTGTATCTTTTTGTAAGCTGTGAAAACAAGGATGTGTTCTAAGAAGTAATAGAATACTGTTTACCTGCACATGACTTAAATTATTTTCTACAAAACAGGATGCAAGTCTTTCTCGAAATAATAGTTTATTTGAGAAAGTACTGACTGATGAGCAATTATCAGAAGAACGATTATCATTATCAGAAGAAAGATCAAAAGAAATATCATCTTGCACATTTATAGCACTTATATTATTATTGTGAATGTCATTTCCTTCATTGCATGTAAGAAGATTAGGTTGCACATATGAGAGATTTTTTGCATCTTGAATAATTGTAATTTTATTTGACTGTCTCGAGTAATCTCTTGAATATTTCTTAGATCGCAAGTTGGTCTTAATTTCAATAATAATTCTCCTTCTTTGTCTAACGGATAAAATATTCAAGCATTTTCGAGAAATTGAACGTTTTATTGGTTTCATAGTTACTTATCCTTTAGAACTTTCCGTTGCTGATGATAGCCAAACTTTCCTGAAAATCCTTAGTGAAAAGTATTTCTCTCTCCGACAGTACTCACAGCTGGGCTCGAAATAACACAATGCGTAATGTGGACGGTTAAACAAAAAACTATCTGTCGCGACAATGCGACACCGCGTCTCCGCAACATCTTATCCGGCAGCGCCGCGTATCTTCCGCGCTTGACACTACCGGAAACGCGCATTCTTCCACTATACTTCTGCGCAGAAGAAGACGATGGAGTACAGGGCCTCAATTCTGTACACGCTTACCGACAACTATCGATGTCGTTAACTGTATTGCGCAGCTTTTGTATATCGTAGAAAACCTGCGCAACTCTGTGCAAAATGCAAAATTGCAAAATGTAGCAAAGTAAATTGCCATTGGCGAGAAATATTTATTTCTACATTTTATTTTGCAAATAATCCATAAAGATAATTTGCTCAATCATTAGTTTTGCTAAAATGGTATGTAGAAAAACACTTGTGTAAGCAGTTAACAATTTTGTATATATACACAATATTTCTACAAGTCAATTTTGAAACAGCAACGTAATTCCATTGTTAGAACATATATTCAGATATAGTCATATTATTTTCTATATGTTGTACTATCAAGAACATTATAAGATACATGTAATTAAAGTCATGCTTAGTATATTGTGTTGTAATTTATATTCAAATGATACTTCTCAAAATATTCATAATTGCATTCTACATAGGTGACCATTTTTACGTCCAAAAGGAAGATAATCGTCATGTGATTGGAGGAATTGGAAGAAAGCAATCGGCACTTTTCAATGCCATTTCAAGTACTCGTTGCAACACTATCGGTTTTCATATTGATAAAATAGTATTTTTCAGTGTCATATCAACAAACAGCACTTTTCATTTATTTCATTATAATCTTGTATATTATTTCTATATATAATTACATTATTTTTAATGAAACAAGATATCTAACTTTCCTTTTTCTTTATACTTTTTTTCTTAATATCTCATTCTGTATGTGACTAATATCAGAATATGTTAAGCATTATTATTGCCAAAATTAGTTCGTGAACAATAGATTTAAAAATGTCAAAAATAAATATCATTTAAATGTTAATGGTTCTTTTCAGCAAGAAACATCTTTTATTTTCTAAGATAATATGTAGCCAATAAAATACGAAAACGCATACTTTGTGCAACATATACAGTTTCTACCAACTTTGATTAATTTAATCGGTTGGTTATTCCATCGGAATCGACCAATCGCGTTTGTCAATTCTAATCTACAATTAATGCGATAGCTTAATTCCGATGGAGTAAACAGCCGGCAAAATTGGGCAAAATTAATCAAAAAGAAACGGACAAGTGTTCCTTACTGAAAAATACCCAATAATTATCCTTGTTTTACCTGAAGTGGGAAATACGCGCTTCGACAGTGCAATTTAAGCGAGAAGCGCACAGTCGTGCATAATGGCATAATGCATAACATAAGGAAATCAACCGATCGGAGTTGTTTATTTCCATTGTGATAGTAAAAATGAGGATTTTGATTGCTTTATTTCTTTATGCGTCATGCATTATACCTTAATGCAAAAGTGTGTGCTTCTCGCTGAAGCATGCATTAGCACACATACATAATAACATCAAAAATAAATTATTAAAATAATTTCTGTAACTTAAATTAAATTGAACTTAATGCTTATAAAATGGGGGAGGAGGATTTAAATAAATCCGCATCTGCTCAAATTCTGCCGTAAATCTGTCGTAAAACGTGCTTGACACGATGTGCTGTGTTTCTGCCGCAAATTTGCTGTCGGACGTTACTTGGCACGGTATGCTCGGTTTCTGCTGCAAATATGTCGTTAAATTACTCTTGGTACAATCTGCTCGATTTCTGCTATCAGTATGCTGTTACATTACTAAGGATAATTTGTTCGATTTCTGTCGTCAATCTGCTATCAAGTCTATTAACAGATCTTATTGTATTATTGCTGACATTCTGCCAACATCATTTGATAAAACAAATTCCGCTTCAATTCTGACGCTATTCTGTCGACAAAACTTGCTGCATACATTTGCCAAAATCTGCTTTTGACAGACTTGGCTATTAAGGTACTAAATGGTGCACATACATAATGATGTTCATAACAAAATATAAACATATGTATATAAAACATAAATAAAGAGTGTTATCTACTTTGGTAGTAAAAAATAAACGAAAAACATCAAAGAACTATCAAAAATTATGAACACATATATATAAAAGGAACACATATAAATGAAAAATATTATATTAATACTATTAATAAAACTATTAATAAAAATACTATATTAAATGATAATATCATTGTTAATCATGAGCCACCGTTTCTCCAATTTTTTGCCTTGAAATCCGTACAGCTTATGCAAGCCATTTCGATACATATTCCGCACAGTCGTCTGTCATTGCGCTGTGGGATACGAATAGCTTCTGAAATATATATCATTACCATATTATTATTATTTTTATAAAATTTTAAATAATAATTAAATAGCAACTTGAATCTAAATAATACCGTTATTTGCAATATTGATCAAAATTATATTGCTTTACGGAGTAGAATAACACTTTTTTCTTTAAAATTCGTTCATTTTGTGTAAAAGCGAATCGAAATAGCTTATAGTCTAATCAATTTTCAAAGTGAAATCCGGGAAACCAAATAAATACCTAAGAGATATATAGTCTTATCTGTATGCATTGCTTACAACACCTGTTGCAGGGTGTAGTCTACGTATATACTTATATAGGTCGACAAAATACAATTTATGAGTACGGTGGTTCCAATGAGGTCTTTCAGAAAGGTTATAAGGCTCCGTTAGTTTCTCAACACACATATTTGTGTCATCTGCAACTTGACTAAATAAAATATAAAGGGACGAATTGTAATATTTTACGGAGTGAATTGCGTTGCAAAACGAAATTTACATTGCCATTATATGTCGATAAGCGTTTTTTCTCGTTTGAGGTGAAAATATGACTGCGATCTAGATCAGTTTGATCGAAAGACGTTACAATAACGTCTTTGTTACAATAACCAAATGTATTTACATACCTTACATACTTTTCTCCAGCTACGTAACAGACACTGTAAGGAGATTCCAGCTTCCAGCTAGAGATCCTCAAAGGGAGAGAGTGGTAAACTGATCACGTGACCAGGTCTCTGCTGATTTGGATGGAGGCACAAGGTCTTCTTCACCAGAATTAGAATATTGATATAGCATGACGACAAGCTGGTTTTACAATGAGTCATAGAGTCAAGACCGACTTTAACCCTAACTAGTCTAACATTTGGTAATTTAAGTCGTAAGCTTTAAAAATTGAACAATCGCAATCAAGTTTTTTTGTAACATCTATCAACGAATAGAGGTTAAAAGAGGAGGTAAAAAGAGGAGCTTAAAGCGTTTAGCGTCGCATAGGACATTCGTTCACGGATATTCAATTGTTACTGCAAATTAATATCTTTGCAATATAGCTGCAATATTGCAGAAATAATATTGCACAATATTGTTTTTGCAATTTTGCTGTAATATTGCACTGCAATATGCAATTTTGCAATGTTACAACAATGTTGCTGCAGCTTCTGTGCTGTATGGGTAAGAACAAAAACTAAGAAAACTTCGGACTTGTTTCTTAGTCTTGAGAACAGGCCATTTCGCTATTGCAGAGATCTTCTGAGGATCTGTCATTACTCCCTTTTCAGAAATAATATGACCTAAGAAGGTCACACTTCTACAAAACAAAACACACTTTTTGGGATTAATTTTCAAATTAATTAATCTCGTAATCTTGAAAATATCACACGGAGATTTTCCATCATTCCCTGAAATGTCGAACTGAAAACGATCACATCGTCCAAATAAACAAGACAAATTTTAAATAAGAACCCATGCAAAATTTCCTCTATCATTCACTCAAAGGTCGCCGGAGCATTACACAATCCAAATGGCATTACTGTAAATTGCCACAGTCCCTTTCCAAAAGAAAAAGCTCTCTTCTCCTTATCTTCTTCACGAAGCTTTACCTGCCAGTACCCATTCTTCAAATCAATTGTTGAAAATCACACATTTCCAGCTAACTGATCCAGTAAATCATCCATCCTGGGTAATGGATAGGAATGGACAGTCACTGCATTAAGACTCCGAAAATCCACACAGAACCTACAAGTTCCTTTTTTCTTTGTCAAAACTACGGGTGACAGCTACGGACTTTTCGACTTCTCGATCACTCCTTTCTCCCGCATTTCCTCAACAAGTTTCTCAGCTTCGGCCCGAATTTTCAACGGAACCCGTCGAGGATTTTGTTTAATCGGCCGGTTGTCTAATAACCTAATCCCGTGTCTTACCACATCACAATTCCCGGCTATGACCGTTTCCGAAAATACGTCCCTGTACTCTGAAATAAATTCAACTAAATCTTCCTTCTGAGAACCATCTAATTCTTCAGAATGCTGCGAAAAGAAGGATTTCATCTCTTCCGGCGTTTCTTCCGGTGTTTGTTCTTTATCCAACCTAATTCGTGCACAAGTAACAATTTCTTCCTTTGGTTGAGGAATTCCTAAAGCTGTCCGAATACCGAATTCTGCATCCGTTTTTGTCAGGAAATCGATTCCTAACAAACAATCATCCTCCATCTCCATAACATACACCGGCATTCTCAAAGAAAATTTCCCTAGTTCAATATTCGTAAATATCCGTGAATGTACCAGAACCTTTTCTCTTGATGGATAAACTAAATCCGAACAATTTTCTATCCCGTTATCCTCACGATCCCTAATAAATTTCTTATTGACAACTGAAACATCTGAGCCCATATTAATTCTAAATGAACAACATTCTCCGTTCAATTTTCCTAAATAAGTGAATAATGAAGAACTTATTCGTCTAACGCTAATCTTATTTCTAATTTCCGGCATTTTGCTTCGCTCTGCCGAATCAATCCCGGCTAACTCGGCAAATCCTAGTTTGACTGCCCATTTAATTATAATGCTGGACATTCCGCCCGAAAATGTCCTTTCTTTCCACAATTCCAACATTCCCTCTTGTCCTCATTGAAATTCGACCCCTTATTCCGTCGCAAATTATTGAAACTTCCCGAACGCGTTCCCTTATTAACAATTTCCGTCCCGTAATTTCTTTTTTCAATATTTTCTCTGTTTTCCGCTTTCCGGAAGAAATCTTTCTGCCCATTATTTAACTCGATTCTCCGCGATGACTCAAATTTTTCATTTCTCCGGGGAAAAACCGTTTCCTGAATTGCTCGAACTGTCATCGCTCGTTCTATTGCGGTTTTCAAAGATGTAACATTCTGTAATTGCAAAGTTTGTTTAACAAAACCATCGGATATTGCCGCGATAAATTGTGCACATGAAATTTTATCCCGAACTTCCACTGAACACTCCGGATAGGCGAGACGAGCTAATCTTTCTAACTCTTCCCCCAGTGTAGCGAAGTCTTCACCCAATTTCTGTTTTCGATTGGAAAATTGCGTGTAGGAATTTTAGAAATTTTCCCAATCCCCAAATCGTAATTTCAACCTATTCCTTAATTCTGCAAAGATCTTTCCTTCGTCCCACGAATCTAAAACCGAGCGTGCCTTTCCATGTAAATGTGCTGCCAGCTCCACCGATTTTCTCAAATCATCCCATCCGTTAGCTCGCGCGATTAATTCAAATTGCCCTATGTATTCGCGTAGCGGAACCGTCCCGTCATAAATATCGGGCTTTAATGTTTCTACGGAAGAAGCATAATTTTCAGGGCGACTTAGCTGTGTTGGTTCTCCGACCGCAGTTAGCTGACTCCGCAACTCCTACAGCTCTTGTCGCTCTCGCTCCCTTTCTGCTCGGAGTTGTCGCAGCTCTTTCATCATCTCTCGCATCACATTCTCCCCCGCGCCCGAAGAACACGCCGCTCCAGCCTCTGATTCCATCGTCTCGTCGAGATGCTGCCGCTTTCTTGTCACTCGCTGGGCCATTCACCACACTTTAATCGCGAATCTTAAAATAACGCGATTTATCCCGGATGAGCCCCCAAAATGTTGCGCTCACTCTCGCACTCACGCTTGCACTCGGGTAAATGAAAACACCTGCGTAACAACTAAGAAGCTTTACTATTTACAGCACCGTTCTTTCAAGCTTTTTTACAGGAATAACTCTCTGTTTTACAAAACTCGCGTCTATCAACGGTGACAGCTTGCCAGAAACTCTCAGTCAGCTGTTGTTGTTATTTTCTTCTTATCGATTTTCCGTCGTCAGGACAATCCTGACTCAGTTGTCAAAATCAGCATCAGATGCCTAAGGCTCGTGGATAACGGACGCTGCCACAAACCTTGTGGCTCGGACACAACAATATATTGATTATAATCCTCACAAAAATATTGTTTGCATAAATTAATAGCATAAAATGATAAGTTTCTGAGCGATGTTGTTAAGTTTAACTGTTATTTACTTTACTTAAGATTACAAGTGAAAACTATTTTAAATTTGTGAAACATTTTTTACGTAGTCTTAAGTAACGTAAATAACATTTAAACTTTACAATAGCGCTCAGAAACTTGTAAATTTAATTTTAATATCTATAAGTATGTACCACGTGCGCGCAATATGGTTTAAATATGGCGGCAATCTCCCCACCACTCGTTTCTTAGTTCGTTATTTCCGAGCTGGTGCTCCAGGCGGCGCTGAAAATAGCATTCCCCTAGTGTATCTTAAGGGAGAGTACGGACATTGATCCTGTGACGGCCATGTTGTGTCCGGGAAACCGGGAATTTAGTTATATGTGCGGAATGTTGAAATTCTACTAAAAGAGATATCAAGCAAGATATTTATATTTAATTTTGATGACTTATAAATAACATTAATGTTATTATAATTGTAAGATAGAGAACTTGTAAAATTGAAGTAGAAATATAATAGAGTTATTTTATATATAAAAAAATATTATTCATACATGATCATAATATAATTTCACAAATAGTAAAGTAATAACTTAATGACATCGTGTTGACATTGGAAACGTCAAGAAAACGTCATAAAGTATAATAAAAAAAAATTTGTTTTCTTCTTTTGCTGTTGTACCGTATCTTAAACCTTCTCCGACAATATTTGTAGCTGTCAGAAATTTTTTCCTGTAAGTTACTCCATTCTATTTCCTGTAATAAAGAAAGTGTTTCATAGTCTCTCCCCTTCAGATCTATTATGTTATTCACGTAGAATCCACAAAATCACATGGATTTCACGTGGACACAACGTTCCTGTTTTCATGGGGTATTGACTCTATAATAATGAAGCGGATTCATTGATAATACCTAAAATAAAAATTTCTTAATAATGAAAGTTAAATAATATTTAACGATAACGATATAAATACAAATAATGTTATATAATATATAATATAAACATGCCATATGAACATATAATATAAATATCTTTTCAGAGACACCAGGTAAAAACTTAAAATGTTCTAAATGACGAGTTAGAGTTCGAAGAGAAGGCAATGGGAAATTATTTCAGAGTAATTGTTCATACCCATGCGATTTGCAAGCAAATTTTAAGCGATAAGCCTTGATTAATGTGTTGTTACACCAACGCGGCATTTTTTTATAAGCATTAGTTAAAACCTTAATTTGATCTTCATTAAATAGCTTATTTAACATTTTTATATCTGTCATTGGTCTTACTTCCTGCTGTAGTCTCTTCAACTTAATTTTCATGTCCCGCAATTGTTTCATCATTTCTTTTTTGCTTTTTTCATATTGAAATAAACGTTTTTCTAATTTTTCTAATCTTTTGTCATATTCTGAAATTGTTTTGGAAATACTTAACGTCAACAGTTGAGTAGATTCAATTTCAGTTTGTATATTTTCATCTTCTTGTTCCATATTGTTATTTTGCTCTGATATCTTTGTTGTATCTATTGGTGATTCCAACATTTTGTTTGTATTTGTATTCCCTTGATTTACACTTGTTGATAAACTCTTTTCCTTGATAGATAGTTCTTAAAAAACAAACAGTATATTATTGCTCATCTGTTATAAATAAATATACTGCTTATATATAAATAATGTTATATATATTATATATAAATAATGGAAAGTATTCCACTACTTTTATATTAACGTCACATATTTTACATTTAACTGTATTATAGCTTCTAAGGTTCATCCACGATAACTGTAAAAATATGGCTGTAAGATTGTAACGTAGGCTGTCAGCAAATAAAAAGAATTTATTTCGCATCTTACAGCTTTACAGCCATATTCTTAAGTCATTGTAGATAAATCTTTAATTGTATACCTTGCTAACATTTTTTTTATTACATCTATTCGAATTTGAGTATCTTCCCCAAATAGTGTTGGTACAGTTTTCCATTTTAACTTTTTTTCCATCGACTCTCATTGTTTCCCACTGATCATCAGCAAAATGAAACTATGCAAAGAACAACATAAAGTAAATAGGTATTGAATATAGAAACAAAGAAATTGTGTATATATTAAAACAGACAACATAATTATATTGTGTATATATTAACAGACAACATAACATATCTCACACAAACGTGAATCCTTTTTCGGCTGCCAGTTACTTCG